CCCGAGCTCCGCACCCGCGGCGGCGCCGGCCCCTCCATCCCGGCATGCCCGCGGTCCCCATTGCCGTCTGGGCCGCGTCCCCAGCTCCGGTGTCCGTGAGAGCTGGAGGCAGCCGAGCTGCGCTCCCCGGGACGGGCCTCCCTGTCGTGGATGTCCGCGGGCTCCGGGTGAAGCCGTGTCACCCCCTACCCCAGACCCGCGGGTCACTGTGCCGGTTCTCTGTTGGAAGGAAACGAGCCGCCTCGCTTCCCAGATCAGGAGACTCTACGGGGCAAACAAGCGGGCCGAGAAGCCGTTTTGGCTCTGTCTGACGGAGTTTGTGGTGGGCTCATTGATCTATGAAGAGTGTTTTCGCATGAACGACGGTTTTTCCGATTATTTGGTAAGAGTCTCTGACCACAGCTCATCCAAGGCTTGTAGCCACAGCACTGGCCTGTGGAGCTGACCCGAGATGGGCTGGGATGAGAGCTATGAGTGGTATGGGACTGCAGTTTGGTGACAGTGCATGAGGTCATGTCCTCTTGCCCTTTGGCAGGAGCTGAGAACTGACAGATGATGGGGGTGATGTGCAGGACCTTCAGGTTGGGGCCTGTGTCCCTCCTGCCCGCAGGAGAATTACTTCTCCGGGTGCTACTTGTGCAGAGAGACCTGTGACAGGCAGACACATCAGCTCGGTTGGGGATTAGGCATCTCAGGCATTCCTGTCCAGGGTTTTTATACCCACCTCGGGTCAGACTCAAGCATGAGACCCACACACAGGTGATGGCAGCAACATCGAGCCCTGTGTTCTACAATGCACATGGGGCTGCAGCTGGTAACAGTGAAGGGGGGAAACACCTAGAGATTCCTGAATCTCAAGAATCAGAACTTCATTTAAAACTAGGTAATTATGGATGTTGTCCCTCAAACCACATCTAGGGATTTTGATGCAAATTTAATTGATTTTGAGATAACATATTCAGTGCTCGTATCGAAACATTTTCCAGTTTTAAAAAACCCACTCTTATCTTCAGAAGTTTAAACACCTCAGGCAGTAGTGTCAGTTCCAGGATATTTCTTGAGTCTGAGAGTGGGTTTTGCTCTGGCAGATGGACTTTGGGCTAATGGGCTTCTTCTCTCCCTGTCTTGTATTTTTCAGATGGATACAACTCCAGAAAGTTACCTGGACCTGTTTCCTTTAGATGCAATTGTTTATCTCACTCCTGATTCTCAGAATGGTAAATATTTTACATGCTCTAGGCACAGGGGAACTATGGCAAAAGGTTGATTTTTAAACTTTTCTTTTTGAGACTATTTCATACTTCAGGTGATTCAGTTCCAAAGCATCGATGCAGCATCAGCATCTCAGATTGCATGAGATGTACTACATACTTAGGTCTGATGCTAAATCTATCCCTTTCTTAATCGGCTTTGACAGGGAGTGAGGTTTTGGCTCAGGACTGTGTGTGATCTGCAGCTGATTTACTGAAAACTTGTGTGTAGACCCCCTGTAGTCTGTAATACTGCGAAGTGGCAAAGTGGAGATGCTGTGGCAGTTTTGGAGACAGTCCAGATGACATCTCTGAAACAATGCAGCGGCTACAACATTCCCTTTATAACTTAATTTGCTGCAGTGTTTATTTTCTCCTCTTCCTCCATTTCTAACTGGCCGTGGGTTTCTGGGGATGTAGACCCCCTACTTGATTTATGCGAGTCCCTTACTCTGATAAAGGATCCGTGGAGGGTGAGGGAAGGTTTTAGTAGGTAACCTCGACAGTGGGGAGGCATCTGCAGCACAGACTGGGATCAGAGTGACCAACCCAGTCACAGTTTGGGTTAGAGAGTGGCTGAGGGGAGCCATGCGCGGCGCCACCGGCGCTCTGCTTCCAGCTGCACTCTCATCTCCCTCTCACCAGCAGGTCCTGGCGGGCACTTCTGTCCCTGAGGCCTCAGGCTCCTGCACACTCTGAGGCTCCAGGGCGAGGGGTGGCTCTAGCCACAGCTTTCTCATGGAAGTGGGCTCTGGTGTAGTACGAGATTTTACTGCTGTGTGGTGGTGAGCAAGTGCTTCTCTTGTTTCTAGTCCTTGAAGATATTGATCCCAGTAAAGTGTACGTCCTGGGAGGCCTGGTGGATGAAAGTATTCACAAGGTGGGTAGTGGCTTGTCAGGACTGGAAGGTGCTGTCTGCCCCTCAGAAGAGCAGCGATGTCCCATTGGTGCATCCAGTGCTGCTGCTGCCTTGATCCCAGACATGGCTGCTGTGCCACCATCCGTTTTTCTTAGGTTCTGCCTGTGTCCCTCACCAGGCTGCAGCAGTCTGGGTGAAATGAGCCCCGGGACAGTTTTCAGCTTCATAGCTGCTTGTACCCAAAAGAACATCCGTGTTACAGGTGTGCAAGTTTGTGCACACTGGGCACCCTGTTCTGGTTTCCCTTGCAGAAGCTGACCCTGCACAGGGCAGAAGAGCAGTCCTTGCAAACAGCCCGCCTCCCCATTCGAGAGTATATGGTGAGAGCCGTTAACACCAAGAACTACCACTCAGAGACCCTGGCAATTAACCAAGGTGAGGGGCTGAGCTGTGTCCAGCCTGGGGCTGGAGGGGCCTGGGGGGCTGTCATGCACTGAAGTGTTTCCAAACTTGAGGCCCAGGGCTGAGAAACAGGGAGGCATTGCCAGGAGGGGTTTCTCTTACTGGGTTTTACCCCTGCTGCCCTATTTTAAAGGTCTTGTGTGCTTCTCTGCATCAGCCTGCTCTGGGGGAGCAGGGCTTGCCTCACCCTTGGTGCGCACAAAGCAGCGAGTGGGGGCTGTGAGGAGGCTGCTGTTGCTGGCGGGCATGCAGGGTCCTTATAAGGGCGGACAGATTTGTTCAGGGCTGTCGGGCTCGATCGGGGCAAGGCTGACAGCAGGGTGGGCATTTGTGTGCCATCCCACGGTGATGGCCCCATGTGACCATGGGCTGGGCCAGCTGCTCGCAGCAGTGGATGTGCCTGTGCTCCTCTGCTGCCATCTGCGGCACCTCTGCCAGGGACTGTGGTGGGGCTCGAGTCAGTTCTTAGCTCTGGCACAAGGACAAGGCAGAGGTGGTGCACGGCTCTGCAGGGCACTAGGCACAGCTGCTAGACACTACAGTGTGTCCATGGGAGCCCTGACACAGGGAGACGGGATCTGAGCAGCAGTGATGGAAGCGCAGCAGGTGTCCCCCACTGCAGGTGTTCTGTCACAGCACGTGCAGGCAGCACAGCACAGCTCAGCCAAACGGGACTGGAGGCACCTCACCTTAGCTGACAGCCTCTGCTTTTCCTAGCCAGTGCTCCCCAGAGTCTTCAAAATATTCCTCTGCTCCTAGATGAGCTGCCTCTGCTCATCAGATTTTAAATGGGGGAAGTACAGACCCCGTGCTGACCTCCTCTGGCATCAGCTGTTATGCAGCCAGTGGGGTAGGTACTGTAGAGCTTGCTATTGATACCAGTATCAGTGTGGTACATCTCTCTTCCCCACAGTGTTTGATGTCTTATCAACTTACTATGAGACCCAAAGCTGGCCAGCAGCCTTGAAAGCTGGAGTTTCTACCGGAAAAGGCTATGTTCTACCAGATGCAGTGAAATAAGTGGAAATAGCTCACCATGAGAATGTGCAAGAAAATTGTTTATTTTGTGATGTTAAGAAGCTCTGCAAAGAAGAGAGGCAAACTCCAAATTTCAAGCAGAGGCACTGGTATGAGTGTGCATAGAGAAAACAGCTCTGCTTAAATCTTATGTAAGGACCTTGTTGAGAGTGACACGTTCTACCTCAGCGGTACAACGCTGGAGACTACTTTTCTCTTTGAACAGAAAACAGAGATGATGGAGCCCTGGGATCGAGTGAAAACTGACAGGAGTTCAGTTTGGCTTCTTTGCAGATGCTTGTTAGCATTTCTGACTCTCGCATCTACTCTTGTTCTGGGACAGGGAAGAGAGCTTTAAGGTATTTCTTTCATCTTGGTTAAACAGTAAGGAAGGTGAAGTTAGAATTGCAAAACTCACTGGCGAAGAAAATTTCTTCCCATGGAAAAGGACAGTGCTGTTCCAGTTGGGGAACACAAGATGAGAAGCAATTCCCCAGTGGAGGAAGAGTTCCCAGGTGCACCATGTCCAAACAAGTTTAAACCAGTTGCACTGAATTTGGTGAGTTGCTGAAGCCTATAGCTAATCTTGTGCATCTAATTGATAAATAAAATGCTTATTCTTAAACTGGCATTGCATCCTTGCAGTTACTGGTGCACGGTATATCATCACACGCTGACAAGCAGTTTGCTGACCCTGATGTGCCTCCTGGAAGGGTGTCTGCGGTTTGACTGTGCCCTGCACTAACAGCAGGGATTTGCCACAGCAAAAAGCATTTTTGATAAATGTAATGCAGTATGTCACCTCAGCCAGCTGCTAAAAAAACCCAAACAAAAAACCAAACCTTGCAGTGCATGCCTATGGCTGACCACCAATGGAAGGATTTTAAGGTCTCCTGAGGTAAATTACTCTTGTGGGCTTACGTGTGCACAGGAAGAGCCTTTTACACCTCCTGGCATTTGGTGTCAGTGGGGCTGGTCGCCGCCCCTGCTGAATTAGGGTTTGCTGGTGCCTGTTGGGCTCCATCCCCTGCACCCTTCCAGCTTGTGCCTCTCACGTCCCCCTGCTCATCTGTCGCTGGTGTGGAGCCAGCAGCTACGCAAGGGCCTCGGGGAATCTTAAGTTCCTCGCTGCGCCCAAACCGCTGGCAGCCATCCCAGCCCTGCCTCACGGACAGGGGACAGCCTGTGCCCACAGGTGCAGCGAGCTGCAGGGGCTCTGCGTGGGGTGGTGATGGTGCCTGGTTCTTGTGGGTGTCTCCTGGCTGTTGGGGTCTGTCTGCTCAGGGAGGTTTCCCAGGGGTGCGGCCGTGCACACGGGGTCAGCTGCAAGGACCTGCCCTTGGCTCTCTCTGGACACGCTGAAGAATGAGCAGAAAGTGGAGGTGGCTTCCCACAGATGTTACAGGGCCACCCTGTCCCTCCACTGCCCTAGGAGATGGGGTGTGTGAGGGCAGAGCTGGCCCCATCCCCCAGCACCCCCATGCCCCTCTGCTGCCCAGGGCAGACCCCCCACCCTGCACACGCTCAGCTGCAGCAACCGACCTGCTGCAGCCACAGCCCGTTGTGCAGCTCACCTGCTGCAGGGACCCCTCACAGAAAGCCAGCTGCCCCCAGACACACCCCTAGGCTAAACACCAGCAGTGGGGGGCCTGCCTCTGCCCTCCTCCTCCTCCCCTCGAGGTCAGGCCTCCAGCACCAGAATGCCCATGACAGGGATACACGGCTTGGCCGCCCAAGGGCGAGCAGCTTGCCCTGGCGAAGGATTTCTGCACAGGGCAGAGAAGAGCCACTGGCGAGGTGGGGCAGAAGGGCTCTCCCTCTCCTCATAACGGGCCATCTCCACTTCGAAGGCAGCATTTCAGCCTCGGGGCTTGCCCATTCCTTTGGGAAGTCACAGATCCTTAAGTAGCGTGGGGGGTTAACTGGGAATGTGCCCAAGCATCAGCAGAAGGAAACTGAAGAGCTGGCTGACACACAGGAACCCTGTCAAAAGAGCAGGGCATTGTGTTGCCCCCCTCGCCTGGAACAACCCTCTTCTGCCCTCACAAGGAGAAGCAGTTAACAGAGCACAGCTTTGTTCCCAAAGAGATTTCCCTTATGAGCCCAGACACACCCTTGGCTATGGAAGGTGGGCAAAGCTGCCTTGGTTCCTTCAGGTCAGGCCAGGGTGGGATTTGACACCACTACCAGAGTCAGCCCAAAAGTAAGGAGCAGGAAGAAGAGCAGGCCAAAAGGCTCCCATCCTTCACAGGCGACGGAAAGTAGGCAAAGCAACACCTGGGGATTGGCCACCTGCAAGGCCCTTGGGAGGCAAGGGACAAGCCCCAGGTGAGATGCAGAAGCCACTGAAGCTCTCTAGAGGTTGCATATTACATACAGGTTGTGCACACAGCTCAGCTGAGGGCAGCACACCCTGCCCCACCACCGCCTGCAGACACGGCGGCTCTTGGTGCAGCTGAGGCAATGCACACGGACACGTCCTTCTGTGGCCATCCCCAAGCTGCAGGGGTGCGTGTCCCGTGGGGGGAGCTGGCAGTGGACACAGAGAACACGGCTGGGCCCTTCCCCACTCAGTGCACTCATGTGCCACCAAAGAGCCCTGTCACAACAATGGGGGCACCCTGAACTGCTGCAGGAGACAAAACATGGCAGCTGTAAGGGCTGTGTGCTGGCGGGCAAGGAGCTTGGCGCCCAGATCCGGGCAGTCTTGCCTGTGAAGCTGCTGGTGAACAGCCTGCACAAGCTGGTGGTAGGTGCCCACCACATCCAGAAGGGCAGCCCCAAGCTCCTGCTGCCTCTGCCTGCACATCCGGCAGTGCGTCACCTGGAAGCAGGCCACTGCCAGCTGAACCAGGTGGTCAAATGTCACCCTCAGCACACCCTGCAGCTCTACAAGGGGCTGCTCGGTTTTCAGGAGCTCCTGGCAACTGGACAGCAGGTCCTGGGAGGCTAAGCCAAGGGCACCCTTGCTCTCAGCACCCTGCTCTGCACATTGATCCTGCAGGTGTGTTGCTTGGTTCCCGGAGAGCTTCCCCACAACCTCCTGAAGCTCTGTGGTGTAGGCAAGGAAGCAGGAGAAATCTGCAGGGCTCATCCGTGCTTGGTCCTTCAGCTGGCTGAGGGCTTGGATGTGAGGGTCCCACCATGCCGCGCCCCCAGCAATGGAGAGTGGGTAAGTGCTCACAGGAGTCCTGGGAAGGTTGCAGCTGCTGGATGGTGGGGTGGTGAGGGGCCCCAGGAATGTGCTGCACACAGGGACAGGGGGTTCATGTTCCCCCTTGTCATCAGGCCTGTGGAAGCAGCTGATATAGGACAGCCGGCAGCTGCACTTGTCCATCCCAAACTGTGGCGGAGATGTCATCTTCACTGTGGAAAAACCCAAAGATCTGGTCACAGTGGGGTCAGAAGGTGTCTGCTCATCCTTCTTGTGGTTAAAGCAGAGGAAGAAGTGTTTTGAAGCCCCATGTTCTCCTGCTCTTTTCTGCAACCAGCCCAAGGGAATTGGGCCCGAGGAGGTGGAAAGCTCTAGAGATGGAGTCAGAGGAGAGTCCTTCCCCACCTCAGTAGCCTGTTCTCTGGGAAGAGGAGCCTGAAGAGGCTGCAGCTTTTTGTGAGCCATATTTCCTGTGTCTTTTCCAGGCTCTCCTTCAGCCAGCCCCTGGCTGATTACCAACTCTTTCTTGAAGGGTGGTCTATTTGGGGATGTCTGCATCTCCCTCCTGACAGCATCAGCCCCCAGGCACCCGCTGGTCTTCTGAGTGGCCAAAAGCTCTAGTGGGGTATCCACCCTTTCCTGAGATGGGCTGGGTGATGTGAGATCTGTCCTCACCCCAAATGAGAGCCAGGAGAGGCGAGTTATAACCCCTGAAGTGCTGCTGCAGTCTGGTAAGAGCTGGGTTGCATCTGGAAAACCCACGTAATTTTTTCTGTGCACTTTCCATAAGGCCCCCTTGGTCATCACTTGTCTGCTTTTGGCCTGTGACCAGGCACCGTCGCTGCTGTTTTCAGCACAGCTGCCACCATTAGCTCTTCCTTCTTCACCGGGAGCCAGGGCAGGCTCCTCGCACACTGCCTGCCTCGTGGCTGCGGGGAGCAGCTCCCGGTGCTGGGGAGAGGCCACACCAGGCCCACGAACCGAGGGGAGCAGTGTGTGTTCATCAGGAGGGCAGGTCACCGCCTGGTTCGGGACTGGGGGTGCACCGAGTGCCGTCTGCGGGGCTGCCATTGCCTCACTCGCCTCCCCCAGCGCCAGGCGGGCCCACCAGCCCCTGGTGGCCACGCAGCTCTCCTCACTCGGCAACACAGCGTTTGTCTTTGCAGAACTTTCCTGGGAAGCTCCGCTTTGCCACCCAGCAAGGGGCTTAGCTTCCTCCAGGGACAGGAAAGGTGGATGCGTGGCATGTGCAGGCTGTAGGCCACCATCCACATGCACAGGAACGCCTGCACTCTCCTCCCTGTGCTGGTCACCCGGCAGGCGAACAGCTGAAATGGAATAAACCACCAAGTCAGTCACCGATTTTGTTTCCATGGTGTCAGGCTCCATTTCCATCAGGTGAGAGGATGGGTCTGTGCTGGCAGTGTCCCTCTGGGCCTGGGTGGCAACAGGAATTTCCAGCTCTGCATCCTTCTCGATCTCCTCTGAGGAGGGTGGTGTGGGTGGCTGAGCCAGCAGCGATGGGGGAGGTGGCCAAGAGTAGTAGCTCTGCAGAGAGTCTGGCAAAGCCAAGGGGAAAGTGACCTGCGAGGTGTAATCAGTTTTCAGGAAAGATCTCCTCTTTCTCAGGTTCTTGGCGTATGTCAGCTCCTTCTCCTTTCCATGTTTCTCCCTTGCTATCTGCCTTGTCATCAGGTTTTCCCCCAAGCTGTAACACCTTGGTTTCTTTAGGAGGCAGGAGGAGTTGTCTGTACCCTCCCGCGTCATACTGTAGCCTGCTGGCAAGAAAAACACATACAAATCAGGAAAGAGCCCCAGGCAGCAGAATACCCACATCTATGCAGTAGGCCAAACAGCTCTTAACACGGGTCCTGCAATTGCAGAGTTTGGCAGCAAAGCCTGGCTCCCAAGTGCCAAAGGAAACTTCTGTTATGGGTCAAGCACCTACCTGGAACCAGCTGTCTCAAGAAAAATAGAGTCAGGGCCTGTGGCTGCAAAGACTGAAGCTCAGGATTAGTGCTGAAGGGTGCTAGATAGTCTCCCCTTGTTTACTGGCGTCCCTTGATCTGGCTGCAGGTACAGCTATCATTCTCAAGTTAAATTTGGTGATATTAGCAGCAGCTACAGAAAGCACTGCCTACAGCTGCAGATTTATTAACACTGAATAGAAACATTATCAGAAATTCCCCGCCTGAATATTTGGATGATAAAAACTTCCAGAGTTTATAATTTTGTGCCTGAACATGCAGGAAGGAAACCTGCAGCAACCTGCAGCCTGTGGGTGAGGGTTTACCTGCCAGGGCATCTGGAGGGCTGAGCCTGTCTGCAGCATCATAGAACTCCTCCTCAGAGCTGGTGTCACCAAACCCTGAGGGTGGCTCCAAAATGAGGTTGTTCGCCTCTGTCACCTGCTCTGCTCCACACAGTGCCTCTTCCCGGGCAGACCCATCTTTCCAGAGACTTCCCCGAGGGCTGCGACTGATGTTGGTCCTCTCCACACTGTCTGCAGGGGATATGCTGTAGCACAGGTTGTAGTAGCCCTTGGTGTTCCTCTCAGACAGCTTGGTCTCCAGCACAGAAGCACTAACATCCTCCCCTCTCTGCTCAGAGGGGCTGTCTTCATACCCTGGCCCCTCTGCATGTGGCACCTGCAAGAAGCAGAAGTAGTCTCTGGTTTCTGTGTTGCTGGAGCCTCCTGCACCACGAATGGGGAAGAAGCTCTTGTCTGCGCTGCTCATCTGCTGGACTGTTGGTGTGTAGAAGTGGAAGAATTCTGGCTTGCAGGAAGAGCAGGCTTCCAACTCATCTTCCTCCAGTGCATCCATAGAGTCACTGGAGCCACTTGTCTTAAACCCTCGGCTCTCAGTGTTGGCTGAATCTGAAGTCTCGGATGTGCTGTCTGTTGCGTTGTCACCCCCATCACACTGGTCACTCCCTCCAGCCCGGGGCTTTGTGATGTCCTCCTCCAGGCTGCGGGGCTCTCCCAGCTTCTCCTCGTTGCACACAGGATGGGCGCTGCCATACACAGCAGGAGTGTCCAGGCAATGCTCCGAGGAGGAATTCAGCTGCCAGGAGTCTTCAGAGTCACTCCCAGTTCGAGATTCATACCCTGGGATTTAAACACATCTATCAGACTGTCCTTTGCGGTGGCAAGGAGGAACAGCCAGACAAGGGTTATGAACTTATCTGCACAGCACAGGAGGGCTTCAAGGCCCGGAGAGCCCTGCCCTCGCCTGCAAGCAGTCTGACCCTGCAGGGCTGTAACTGGGTCCCTCCTGGCTGCTTCACTGGTGTTACTGCAGAGCAGTCCCAGAGGGAGGCAGCTGCAGGACAGCAGCCATGAACTCACTGCCTGAAGACAGCCTGGCACCCCTGCGAGGCGGCACTCATCCTGACAGGGACAGGGCAGCACGGCCAACAGACGCCCCGTTTCCGGGCCCAGGGATGCCAGCCCGGGGGAAGCTGTACAAGAGCGCTCAGGGACAGGTCTGCAATTTCCACCACAGGCAGTCTGCCTGCACTTCGGGGAGGCGCTGACCACCGCCGCTGCTCCTCCCCTGCCCCTGGGTCTGGGGTTGACGGAAACCACCCGACACTGCCCGCTTCATGATCTGCAAGTGCCACCGCACACCCCTGGGCTACTGCTCAAGCATGACGCTATTCTCAGGAGGGAAAAATGCCTCTAATTGCTGGAGGATCCACCCACTTTCTCCCCATCCCTTGGCAAAAAAATAGCTTCTCTTTTTAAACCTTCTTCAGCTGAGACACGGTGCAGTTGCTGTTTTTTCTCTCCCCAGGTAAATATGGAGACATTTGCATCCACAAACAGTCTGTAATAGCCTGTGATGAGGCAGACAAGATCCTTTGCACTGTTTGATTCCAGCAGCAGAGTCAGCAGCTTTTTTTGGGGGGTGGGATGGGGAGAAAACAGTAAGAAAATATTAGAATGGACAACTATTGCTTGTACCACAATCTGCAGGAACATGCTGCACATTCAAGACATTCATTCTCCCAATATCACCCTTACTGCAGAGCATTCTGGCTTTGCATGAGGCACAGAGAAATTGTTTTTCTTGCAATTTGTTTCTGAGATATTTCTCACTGATGGAGGATAGCAGGAAGAATCAATTTTCTTCCATTATTTTGTAATCTTCCTTCAAGCTTTCCCTTCTGAGTCTGTTCTAAGCTTTTTGTAGTAAAGACACCATCAGCTAAATGCCAGATTTTGAGAAGAATAGATGGTGTGAATGACTCCCCACTTGCGCTTACCTTCAGATCCTGCAGGTAGATTTTCACCATGCTCACTTTTTCAGACTCCTCTGTAAGCTCCACTCTGCTGATGTTTGCAAACTCTGCCAGACTTGATATGATGTTGAGCTTATTATTGATAATCTGGCTCACACCGTACTTGGCACCCACCAGCAAGGCAACATATGATTCTCTGTCCTGTAGCTGTAGGGGGAGAAGTTAAATCTGTAGCCAAAACCTGAGCAGGAACCTACTCATCTTTGTTGGGCAGGGACTCTTCAGCCACCCGATCTTGTGTGGTGTCTTAACACTGAACTCTCTGTACAACTGGGCTGTCACCAGCTGCAGAGGGAGCCCCTCATTACTTACAGGCTGTCAGGTCACCTGCTCCCGGCTGTTCTCTTCTCTGCCTCGGGACCGCCAGACTCCCTGTGCACCCAAGGCAGCTGGCCCCAGAGATGCACCAGCCATCTAGCAGATCCAAAGAGGTGGTCAGCAGCAGCTTGCTATCAGAAGTGTCACCTGGCAGGCTGCACCTAGCAGATGGACCTAGCGAGACCTACTGGAGCTGGCTAGAAACTTCAGGAAGGCATTTTTGGTTTTGGAAGAAATGTCAACACTTTCTGTTAGGATCAGACACTTAAATAAATGAATCAATGCCCATATAACTTGGCAGAAATATTTCAGTTTGTACCCAAGTGTAAACCTAGGCATTACTGCAACCCATCTGTAAGGTCCTCCTCTGGTTCAGACCATCCTGCACTGCTCAGCTCTCTGTACAGAACAGCTTGTGGCCCACAGTTCAGTACAGATCCAAGAGGGAACAGGCAAAAGAAACCCCAAGAAATGTCTTGTGAAAAGAGCAGTGTTCTTTTTTTACAGTAAGGTTTAAGTGTGGCCAATATTTCGTCAAGAGCTTTTGAAACCTCCCCAGATCTCTTAAGTACTTTACAAGATACAAAAAACATAGATAAGAGCTTGTCTGAAGAGTCACAACTTCCAATTAGAAAAAATATGTTTAATTGTTGTGTAGGCTGGTATGTTATTCACTTCAGTAGAACTATGCTGACTTACCCTAGCAGAGTCCCTTACCAAGATTTATCATGATGTCCCAGGACAGGGAAAAGTGGTGTGACTGGAGCTGGCTGAAACAGCATCACCAGAGCTACTGGTACATTTTCTATGAGCACCAAAGCAAAGACAGGGAAGGAGACTCAGTAACAGGTTGCTAGTCTCACACCAACAATCAACAGAGAAAAATATTTAAACATTTCTGCTTTAGATAGGGTTTGCTTTGGTTAAGACATGATCTTACCCACCAGTGAAGAAAAAGGGTTAAAACTGCTTCTTGTGCCCTATCTTTGCAGCTATTGTCCAAGTACACTGCCAAAAGAGATGTGCAAAGCAAGGCAGTAAGACAGTAAGCCAAAACCCAATGACATAAACAAACAGCACTCGTACCATGAGGGTGGCATTAAAGATCCTCCCATTGTACATCTTCAGGTCTCCCAGTATTTGTAGGTAGCTCAGGCGCACTTGGACTGCAGCGAGCATGTGCTTCAGTTTGCAAGAGGAGAAATACTGTTCAGAAACGTGACAGACAGTAAGGTTTGCCAGGTAGCCCATAGGCTAGAAGATGTTCTTTTCATACAGGACTTGGTACGCAACCAGCTCATCTCTATTGGTCTGCGTAGGTAACAGATCTGTACAGGACCATCCCACAATACCACATTTGCCACTTGGTAACCCCACAGGCAAGCTGCAACAGAATACGCAATGAGGGAATTGGGATGCATGCGAGCAGAGGGCGTTACAAGAGGAAAAGACAGGAGAAAAGCCCCAGGTGGTTCCACAGAGAGGAGACCCACAGGAGAAAGACATTGCCTCTTTGGACCTGAGAGATGCTGCCACCATCCTGGAGGCCCCTGGAAGCCAGGGGACGCACACTACCTTCTGCCGAGGGTCCAGCAGCACCTGGTTCCGCTTCATGTGGTAGCTGATGGCCTTCTTGATGTCCTTCCCTCTCATGTTTCGAAGCAAAGTTGGCGAGATGAAGTTTTCGATTCCCCAGTCCCTCCTGCCAGAAAAGATGGGAAGGGAGCAAAGGGGTCCCGGCTGTGCTGTCCCCCAGCAACACTGGCAAGTGCAGAAGGGCAGCTGGCCCGAGGCAGAAAAGGGCAAAGGCACTGCGCCAGCCCATGGCACACCGTGCCCCCAGCTGCTGCAGCATGTCTGGGCAGCTCAAGCAACATGACTGCCTCACTCAGAGTCACTTCTACTGGGTCAGGAGGTGGGGCTGGAGGAACACCCACTTCCAGGCAGAATGCCTGTTTTCACACAGTTATACAGGAGACAACCTGCAAGCTTAGTCACCATAACGGTCCCAATCTGTCCTTGCCACCCAGAGGATGAAGAGTCTGTCTTTATCTTCAGTTTGCTTAGGTTTCAAGATCACATTTTAACACCTCCAGTTCCCTAGACCCAAAAATGTGGGCCATCTGTTCTGCTGAAGAACTTTTTCAGCCCAAGCACTAAATATCCATGAACTAAGAATGCTGCAGTTGTCTACACCACTTCTCACTCCCCACTAGCTGCATGTGGCTGGGTATGTCTGGCTCTGTGCAAGGAATCAGTGGTGTTTGCACAGGCTGGTGGAGGTTCAGTGGGGCAGTTACCACGACTGGCTCAACACAGGTTCTTAAAGCAGGGCTGCTTTTTCAGGCAAGTGGGGTCTAACAGCACTGACATGCAGCACAGCACACCTGCTGCTCGTGAAAACATTTTTCAGTATTTTTTCCCACATCCCATGACCTCACAGGACCTATCACTTGCACTGAAATTAGTTATTTCCGACACAACTCTGATGGATAAAGAGATGTAAAGTGTTGGCTGTGCAAAGTTGATGACTATCCTCTCTCTCAAGTACTGCATGCAAATGTTAGTGTACTGGCAGGAGCAGCCTGGGTAACCATAACTGTGTGAGATTTGCAATTTCATGTCCCTGCTCCAGCTACAGCTCAGAACCTCCCTCTGCTAAGGGACATGCCCAGATATTATACTCTCTGTATTATTCATGCAGCTCAGCAGCATAAAGACAGGGAGGCTCATGAAGCCACTTTGCCCTAAAATGACTGGCACAACTAAGGAACAACAGTCTCTTTAGATGAGAGACAGTCTTTTATCCAGACAGTCTTTTAACACTGGGCAAACACAGAGCTGATGCCACTTTTAGTTGGCTCCTTCTTTTGCCAGGCCTAGTCACTACTGAACACAGAAATTGAGAAACTTACTCAATGTATTTCAAGGATACTTTCTGTGGCTGAGCACAAGTATAGATCCTTTCCTGTATGTGCAGAGCAGCCAGACGTAACGCCACACTGCATTTCATTTCCACAGCAAATCTTTCCTGAAGCACATCGCTGCAGCTCTGGAACAAGCAGAGCAGAATTAGCATGATGATGGAAGCTCAAGAAGTCAGGATAAGACCTCTGATATGACTACTGTACATCAAATAAAGGGCATTACCCAGCTCATCTCAACCTCATCCTGCCAAAAAGCCAAGCATGTAAGTTGATTTAAGAATTTAAGGCAAATTGAATCCAAATGCTCTGTTCTTAAGTGTTCTGCATTTCACATTCATGTAACTGAACTGGCCTGAAGTATGATTTGGTTTAAAGCAGAAATGGGAATTGGGTGAGAAGAGATCCCGAAGCATGGAATGCCTCGATTTCACCTGCAGGTAGAGATATTCGAAGGCAACTGGGTCTTCCTGTAGGAGGTCTAAGGGATCCTTTGGGACAAAGGACACTCTGAAGAGGCACCGGTAGTCATGAGATTCTCTTTTCTGGACCACCTGCAACAGACAAACAGCATCATGCCACACTACTTCTGTAGCCCCTCCCTTCATAAATGCACCGTAAGGCTCTGGCTTGTACAAGCTCACAGAAATCATTTAAAGCTACTGGCATATGGGATGGCTGCAGATTAGCCGTTGTCCTTAGCAAATACAAGGAGACACTGCGAGTGTTTGTAATTCTATTTTCAATTATTCTTCTGGTTTTTGCTTCTCCATGTGGTAGTTTGGAAGTCCTTTGACAGCAAAACTTCATTAAATATCCACTGATCTCATATACTTGCAGTATAATCAGGACAGAGGCTTCAAGCCTATATGATAATGACAGAGGAATAAGCAAGCTTCTCTGCTTTTAAATTCAGTCGTAAGATACAGCAGCCCCAAAAAGACACTTGGATCATCATCACAATGTCAATACAATGTTAAGGCCCCTGGGTTATATATCAGCATGTTTTATTCTGAGCAAATCCCATACCGGTTCACCAACTGAAACAAAGCAGAAACTCTCAGGCACATGTGCTCAGCGGCTGGGCAGTGTTAGCTACTGCACCTCACCAACCAACCAAGGAGATGAACCTCCCAAGTAGGCACATTCTGACAAGCTAGGTTACCCCAGAATTACTAGCAGAGCAACAGAATTACTAACAGAGCTAACCTCATGTTTGCAGGACACAAACTTTTGATTTAGAATTTAATCAAAGTGGCAGCTGACTGAGTTAACTCTGTGACTACCTAGGGGACTGTAAATAGCTGGGTACACAGCTGTTTTGAGACTGTCTCTGTGGCTGGGCCTATCTGAGGGGTGGCACAAAGCACGCTTGTCCTCGACTGCTCGACACGGTACAAGCAATACTAGCCCACGGGTGTTGCTCTATGGGCTCTCTAAGCAGAGTGCAACGTGCCACTCCTCTGGGGGCTCCGGTGACCACCATGGTTAATTAACGCCTGCCACAGGCAGAGATGAAGAGGGCAGCTGAGGAGATCGGGGCCAGCTGGCTCCCTCCTGGGACACCGGCGGAGCTGAGCTCTCCGCTCCTCGTGCCAGTGTTCTCCAGCGCAGTCGCGGGTGCGCAAGCACTTGGCTCACCTGCTCGATGAGCTCCTCCTCGTGCAGCAGGTGGATCCTTGCCACATTGTACTGCTCCTCCAGAGCCAGGGCAAAGTGCGCGATGCTCCGGAGGGAGAGCTTCTCCTTCAAAGTGAGAACAATGTCCTGCGAAGGGAAGGAACACAAACAGAAGGGAGACACAGCTGCTGAGCACCACTAGCACAACGCATGAACGTGGAGGATTCCAGTCTGCCGCTGGCAGCCACGTGAGACAGCACTGAAAGGGCAGTGGCCAGACACAAAATTCTCTGCAGCCAAAAACATACTTGGAGCTGCCACACAGAGCGAAATGTTTAATGCTGTTCCACAGGAAACCAGTGCCTACACGACATACCGCCTCTCTCTCTTCACTGACAACTTATGAACACGTTAACTCAGACAGACTACAGAGGTCTTAAGGTTAAAGCCTGCAAGTTCATCACAAGTGGAAGCACGGGAGATAGCGCCCCATGGAGGTTACCAAGCACAGGCTTGGCAGTTGGCTGCTGTGGTGTCCCAGCTGGATGCCTGAGCCACAAAAGTATAATCCAGGCAGGCATCGGCAGGACGGTGGCCAGAGCCACCCATGCCCGCTGACACCAGCTGGTAGGGAAGAGTCCAGGCAGCTGCAGGGGAAGCACGGAAGCACAGAAAAAGGCAGGACAACACATTTCAGTAGATCAGGAGGATAAGGTAGGGACACTTCATCTTGCTGTGGTAACAGTACAGTAAGATGCAAACTTCAAGGCATAACAGGCATCACATCCAGTTCCTAGAGCTGCGTGTCCTGGACTGCTTCATGCTGAAAGCTTTGGCCTTACAGTTTTCAGTCTGGTGGTGCTGGGCACTTTCTGTCACTCTTGATCCAAATGTCTGCTGCTAACCATTCTAGCTTTACACAACTCTATGGCACCTTTTAAAGAAACTACAAAGAACAGATGAAAAACACCTCTCCCCACCGATAAACAAGAATTTGAGAGCATAATTGTAAAAATCTTACCAAATTTGACTGAAACTGGTGTGTCAGGGGTATGGAGAATTCTGTTGGAATACTAACTGTCATGTAAATAACTAGGTTTATTTTTGGCAAACAGAAAACATTACATAAGGCTTGACAGTACAAATGGAAAGAGAACTCCTTTGACTCACTCAAGCTTCTTGAGGTAAGCAGAAATGTTTGACTCACCTCACTTTTAAGCAAAGATCTCTCAAAAAGCAGAGAAATTTCCAAAACCAACTGACTTAGGAAGCATTTTCCCCATTTGAGTGTTTCTGGAGGATGCTGGTGAGGGTTGCACTCAACTCCAGTAGGGAAAATCTTGTTCCAGGTCAGATGTGAAAAACTCAAGTCAAACATGAAGAGCTAATCCATGTTTTAGAAATTAATCCCTTGAAGGTGGGCATGCAAATCTCTCTTTACAACTATCTCCCCTTTCCTTACTAACTCCTTGCTTGATTTCATTATTTTCTTTTTCTCTGCCCTGCACAAGACCTGCACAGACTTACTTGCACAAGAGACCACAACAGTTTTGGATGAACTAGACAATAAACTCTTTCAGGAAAGCTTTCAGTGCATTATAATAACATCTCCTTGCTTTTCCCCTTAATACTCTTTCAGCCTGACAACTCCAGAATATCTCTCCATCAAGCATCTTTTCCACAGTAACTGCACTGCTGCAGGACATCATATATCCTTCAAAGACATTACGGCCTCCAATCACCCTGCACAGGAAAATCTTATTAACTCCAACTTAAACACTGAACAACTCTAAAGATCAGGCTAGAAAAACTTGAAGGTTGTAAGCCTATGTCTAAAATTACAATTATGGAAAGTGCCAGATTAATGGTTCTGGAGAGAAGCACATTGTAGTTTGAAAAGAATGATGGTAACTTGTCTATAATGCCTCCAAGCACAAGTGATCCTAGGCAGGTGGTAATGTTTTTCCATCTCAGGGGGTTCATAAGTTTTCATGTCTCCCCAGGGGAACATTTCCACCAGTGCAGAAATGAGGCTGAAACACAGATGATGCCTGTAGATGATGTCTGCAGGCAGTTGGTGCTAGTTGCTGCAAGGGGCTTCAGACAAGAATGTGCCCAAGGACAAAATTTGTCCAACTGTGATGAGAACATCCCAGGGAGGGCAGAGAAACCAACAGACACCTGTGGTAGTCAAAGATAAGAAAGCTGGGAAACTTTACAGACAAAGCAATGAGCCAAGATGAGGCCTTATATGAAAAGAAAACAGACATAACTGAGAGTTAAAGAAAGGACACTACGAGGTGCCTCTTCAACAGCCACTAGGGACCACCACAGACCACCGGAAACCCCCATGGAAGCCCCTCAGACACCCTTCCCCAAATTTTACTACATTTGTGCAATATATTAACATATGCATTAGATCCTCTAGAAATAGGTGTGTACCTCTCAAATTAGATGAATATTCATTTCTTTTATTGTATATAGTAAGTGTGATTTTGGTTTTTGGCATGCACTTTAGAAGGAATGATTCCCCGTGCATCCTGCACTGCAATAAAGAATGCCTGCCTGCTAAAAACTTCAAACTAAGAGGTTTCTTTTGAGACCGAATTTATGGTAGCACAGAAAGGCACTTTAAGTAACAACTGGCACAATTCCACTTGCTGAGCTCACACGATATCCAGACCAGGACTCTCTTGTCTAGGTCCCAAGCCAGGAAACTCGTTCTCCCTCTCAGGGATGTGCACTGTCACTGCTCTATTAAACCTTCTCTGTGTTCTGCCACCTGGTTTCCAAGGAAAGCAACGTTTGTGTGGACAGCTGCAAATCTGCCAGTCCCCCACTGACCTGTGCACTTGCCCAACTTCGATCACACTTCACAAAGCTGTAGTGGTCTCACAGCCAAGTTGCTGCAAGTTCTGTGAAAATCAGTTGCTGAGAAAATGACGTGAATTAAAGCAACACCTTCTCTGCAGGAAGGGCATGGAAAATCCAGCACGCCCAGCATCAGCAGGCAAAACAGTTCCCACTAGCTGGCCAATACAACCAAGATGTTGCAAGTTTCACTGTATGTGGGTTTGCTACTGGATTGAATTCAGGTGGTGGGAACAAAGACAAACAACCACACATCATTACCTTCACAGTAGTGCTGGTCTCAAACCTGAAAGCCTTCGTCTGTCCATTTTCCAAGTATACCTTGAGAACGTTGGGCATACAAAGAAGAGAATTCCCCTGCAGAACAAAAGCAACAACACTAATCCCTGGACATTAAGCCTCTGGGCACCAGTCTGCTCTGCTTGACACAGCACATCCTGGTATAAATTAAAATCTTTCTCTGCTTTTGCAATCCTCTTCTGTGGCTTTATTCCTTGATTATGCTTCTGGCACGGAACAAGGGAAAGTGATCATAACAAATGCTTTTACTATAAAACTCCAATCAGTGCAATAGCTGCACATGGTCCAAGATATGCCCACTGCTCAGTTCCCTACATGGCACAGGCAGATCTGGCAGGTACTGGAAGCTAAGAGCCATTCTCCCTGCTCATTATCACAAAAGCGTCGATGTCTGCTGGAAAACCCATCTTCCCATTACTGGGCACCAGGCAGTGCTAATCCCCACACTGACATTCTCCCACTGGCAGCAGCCATGGCTTCAACTCAGGAGCTACCCAAACCCTCCATGCTACCACAAACAGATCCTGCACACCTCAGCAAGGCTGCAGGACTCAGCTAAACATGCAGTGGTACTTTTCTTGAGCATTCCCCTAAGGTTTGTGACTCTGGGACTTCCCAAATGAGATGATCTCAGAGTTTCCTGAGATAGGTCTCAAATGCATTAGACAAGGCAGTGTCTCACACAGCAAAAGTACCTCCACTGGTGCTCTGAGAAGGGTCTGGGAACTTGGTAATAGCCCTTCTGGTGCTGGCTAGAACTACACCTCTTGGCCCTCCACCTTACTCCCTTAGTAGAGCTCATTTGCACCTGCATTCCTCTTTTCAGCCTTATTCTTCCTGTTGTTCAGTGCTGAGAAAGTGTACTTCTCTGCCCTTGAACTTCCCATTCATCTTAATCTTTCTTATGTTCTTGGACCAGCATATTCCTCCAATCTTAAAAGAGTTTACCTACGTGTCATGACAGTCCCTGGGTTGAGAATGGCATTTTTACGATCATCTCTCCTATGTTTCATGGCTGTGCAACACCTTATAAATCCCACAACCTTGCTCCCTCTTGATAGAGAGCCCATATACCCTGGAAGTGCTACCAGAATGCAAAACACCTACAAATCATTCCTTGTTCCTCACAAATCTTGTTCCTTGTTCCTCCCATCCCTGCTTTGTGGTCTTCAAGGTGCCTACAGTCATCACTGAGGTAAGAGTGAACCCTGCCACTATTCCTGAGCCCAAACTCACTCTTTCATGCTGAGTAGCACACATCACATCTCTGACAGGCTTTGGGTCCTCAATTAATTTCAGAAAAGTGATGCTGGTTTACACCAACTGTACCTTTTCTCTGGTAGCTCCCACAGCCACAGGTTATCATATGAATGGGGCCTTGTACAGCCAGCACTTATCAGAACCTGAAATCTATACAGAAATTCAAATACAAGTATCACCACTCTCCCAGTCAGATCTAATTAGCTGGCCAGAACATACAGACAGGATTTATCTCCTTTTGTGCAGGCTCTAACAGGCTACTGTGAATCAATTCTGAAAGATTCTGCTATGGCTTAAGCAGCTGTACCCCTCCTGTTTTGTCTGGTGCAAGGTTGATTTATTCCATGTTACAGCTAGGCCCACAGCTTCTAATAATACACTGACTGATGATGACCTGAGGATCCTGAGGGATGCATTTCTTGCATATCATTCAGTTATACGGAAATACATAATGAGTTTGCAACAGAAAATGGATGCTGGATAGCAGTGAGGCCTATTAACAATTTATGTTCAAAAACTAGAGTTTCAGGTTTCAAATGCAAAAGACAGCCTCTGGCTTCCTTTCACTTGCCACAAAGATCACTTAGCAATGCTCCATTAGGATGGCAGGAGTAGTGTATTTAATGAAACTGGAGGCTTTGCAGTTTTTCAGGGCCAGAATATCCATTTTGTCTGAATACATCACTCTGCTGAAAGGAGAGCAGTTCTGAAAGAATCAAGCAAAGTAGCTGCTGGTGAACAATGCTCTCCCAGAAAGAAGTCATAAATATGCAACAAATTTATTTACTCTTCCTTTGTGCTAACGTTTTACTGTTTAAAACAGAGTTCACATTCAAGTGGTGAAAAGGGAAGCTAACAGGGACCCCAGCACCAGAATGAATTTCTCTTACTTTTATGTTCTCATTAAATGAATCACAAGCTGTATATTGATTGTGTCCCCCCCTCTGCACTTGCATAGGTGTGATTAACTTAGCAAAATACCGACAGAGGCTTTGTAGGAAGCACAGAGTACACTATCCCCTCTGGAAATGCCCTCTTCAGACCTCTCAAGACCTGCCCTGCAATCAGTAAGTGAATGGCACAGATCTGAGACCTCGAAGTGCTGCAACACCGGCACACAACTTCTGGCTAAAACAGCTCCATGGGAGTTCCCAAGCAGACAGCAGTGTGCACCTCTAGCTGTAAGAAAAAGTAGAGACTTCTGGCATTTTCATGTCTGGCTGGCCCTGCCCAAGGCCTCTCAGTACCTCTGCCTGGGACCTTCCAGAGCATGTTTATCCTGTTCCCTGCTCCCCACCTCGTCAGCTCTGTGGCCTGTGTCACATCTTCTGACCACACGAGGGGTCCAGCCCTGGCTTCTCTGGTCAGCGAGGGTGGCCCAGCTGCCATGATGCTCAGCCAGGATCCCAGACCAGCCTCTCAGTGAGATCTGAGCGATGTGAACACAGCCCTTGGTGGAGCAGAGACAAGCCTTGAAGCAGCTTCAGCATATGTGGCAACAGCTTGGCAGGAAGGAAAGGATCCCAGACTAGAGAGAGTGACTGGCAAACGTGTCAGGACTCACACCTGACCCTCTCCTGCTCTGGAGAGCAGGCTGGAGAAGGAGAAGAAGTCCCGACATGCCTGGAGTCAGGCACAGGTGCCAAAGCCTTCACGCTGTGCCTGTCTAATAGGCTGGTGACATCAATGGCATCTTTGGCTGCCCCTCTGCCCTGACGAGGGGCAAGAGAGGAGACACCAGCCACAGGGAACGCTCTGCCTGAGCTGGGTCAGGAGAACTCTCCACCAACAACGGTGGAAAACAGGAGACAGCATGAAGAGAAGAAAAGGGCCTACTGGCTGGCTCATCATTACTGCAGACTACAAAGAAGCAAGATTTGGTCAGACCTGGAGATGTGGACAGCACTGATGAGTAGGGGGGATCTTGACCACTGAAATTTTTCATTCCAAAGGGAAAAAGGAAAACTCAAGAATTAAAACTTCCAACTGACCCCAGTCCATCCCAATCACACTGAGCTTAATAAGTGAAAGAAAAAGGAAACATTTAAGAACTATTCATACTTCAGGGAAGCTACGAGTGTTCTCACTGCTTGCTCTTTTCTGCTACAGACAGACTCGTATCTATGCGGATCATTTGTTACCAGTGCTACAAACCCTGTGATAAATCTACAACGTTCCTCCAGTGAGCCGTGATCTCGTTGCACATAAGAACAGACTGGCTCAGCTGACAGATGGTCGATTATAGAGGCAGCTGTGAATGCTCTGTGGAAATCCTCTGCAAGGATATGAAGCACAACAAGCTGTAACCCTATCAACTAGAGAACATATGTCAAATCCAAGCACAAAGCAAAGTCACCAGTACTGAACACTGCTGAAGGCCAGGAAGAGATACCCCAGCTACTCTGGCAGCAAATAAGCCTGGTGTGGACAGTAAGAATCACCTCTCTCCGTTAGGGTTAGGATTTCTCATGCCCAGAGTTCAGTCTAGGCTAACTATGGAGAGATTAGCACCTCAGGAGATGACTACATCCCACAGCTGTGTAATGCTGGTTTAAAGTTCACCTGATGGCAAAAGGACAAAAGCAGTACATGCAGATATTTTCCATTAGTCTAAGTAAGCAAATCAAAGATAAAACCCTCTGGAGATGCCAGCATTTTCCCCGATCGCCAATGGGCCTGGGAAACATTGGGACCAGATGCTAGGATGCACATCCAGGGCAGACTAGCACAGTGAGGTGCAGCCACTCTGACGGCACTGGCCACGCTAACCCAGCCCAGCATCTGTCCACAGGACAGACCCATTTCTTCCCAGCACACAGAGCCCATGGCCACTGACCTGTGTGTGTCCATTCACCAGCACTTCCTCTGCGAACCGTACCTTCACCGGGTTTGTTTTTAGCCTTGCCCTCTTCTCTGCAGTAAGAAACGATGACTTGGGCCCCCCCTAGAAAAACAACAGCACTTTGTTAGCAGCTCAGTCTGTTGCAGTCACGTATGAGAGGCAGAGGTGCACAGTACAGGCAGGGGTGTGGTCACAGCCCTTGCTGAAGCTGCTCACACCACACTGCCTCGAACTTACAGGAACAGGTTAGGAGTCTCTCAGCCCCCAGGCTTGCTACGGGCCTTTTTGACCAAACCCAAATCCAGCTCTCCAACCAAGGGACACACATACAACACATGCTGTACACACACTCCTGATTTCATTGCATGTTAACCAACTGCTGTGTTGAGGTATCTCCCCAACTCCTGCAATGAAGCCAGGACCCTGCAGAGCAACTGTTAATCTACCAACAGGTGGCTTGCAGTGGAGGCACACAGCACCATAAACCAACACACGGAGACTGCCTTGCAGTGTCAGACAAAGCCCCCTGTCAGTGCATCACAAAAACACAGCCCTGTACACAGCACTTCTCAGCTCAGCTGGGGTTTCTAGAGCATACTCTCATATTGCAAATGTTTAAGAAAACTGCTCAAAGTTAAAAAGCCATCTTAACTTCATTGTACTGCTGCCACATAACCATGCTTTCACCATAACAGGGGCCTACCAAGCTCACAAGACACCATGTGGGCCTAGGAACCACTGAGTTCTTGTGCCCAAACATCCTGCTCCTGTAAAGCACAGTATTCCCTAAGAAGAAAAGAGGCAGTGTCCCTCAGTATGCTCCTAGACAACTTCGAGGTAGAGCAACTCCTATATTCCTGCCAGAGGCACAGGTGCCTCCCAACCTGCCACAGCCCATCTTGCCCCAAGGCCATTTGGCAAGGACAGAGGAAGGGAGGCAGGCAGGAGTCCCTGTGCCCGGTGCACAAGCCCTGCCAGTCTGCCGGGCTGTACAGAGCATCATGCCCTGCAGCTGCCCTGAGCAGGTCCAAGGCCGCCCACATCCCTTCCAGTGCGGCCAGAGCAGCCCCGGCAGTGGGTCTGGTACCATTGATGGGAGGTGTTACCTCTCAGCTCTAAGCACAGCTGCCTTCAGAGCGCGGCAAGAGCCAACCCCAAACCCCAGATCAGCCTTGGCTGTATTTGGAAGTGTCCTTAAAGTGACCTGCAAAGGAAAAAACAAAAATGGGTTTGTGCCCCATTTGCTTCTCAACAATGCATGAAGGCCTGTGAACAGTGTTCCAAGTCCCGTGAAGGGTTTTCCAAATCCTTTCTCTCTGAAAAGCCATTGCATTTCCTCTCTTTTGGCAGGCATGCAAAAAATGCATTCAGGTCTTGCATAACCAACTCTCAGTTTTATCTCCAGAGCCAGATCAAGCACTGGCAAGACTGATGGCCAGTGTATAGGCAAGGGAGATCAGATTAACAACAGAAGGAAGCCACTGTTCAGTGGGTTTGCTTAAAGCTTTTCTGGTTACTTTGGCTTTGTGCACACCATTGAATGCCAACACATGGAAAACTCTGAGCAGGAAAAATATATTAAAGAAATTTTCTCTTTAATGTACCTCTACTGAACAAGCCAAGAAACCTCATGACCTTAAGCCTGAGAGCTCCAGTAACTCTACTGAAGGAATTATTCTTATATCTAAGAATAAATCAAAATAAAGAAAACCTCCAAGCAACCAAAAAACACTCCCAAAATGCTTTCTGGAGTGGGGGAAAATCCCTCTCAGGCCACTTTCATACATCACAAGAAGCCAAAAAGCACACAAACCCAATTTTGTCCTTGCTTTGCAGCTCAGCTTTTACACACATAGAAATCATGTGGACAAACACAGCACGTCGGCAGTACATGGCTTCTGAGGAATTTTATGCTACAGGAATGGGCCATCAGCACCAAGTTTTGTACTCAAACTTTGTTTCTACTCCCTAAAGTATGATGCACACGCAGGTCTCAGCCCTTAACCAGATGGAACCTGGAGAAAAAGCGATAAATATTTCCAGCACTTGTAAAGGAAAGCCGTAAGAGCTTCCACAGAGCACCTAAGGCAGGTGCTGGGCCTGCAGCCTCAACTCCTGACCGTCGCGTCCAGGGGTCCCCACGGCCCAGACAGCCCCAGCACATGGGAAGTACTCCAGGCTGCTCTTTGTGCCCACAGCTTGCCGAGAAGACCTGCCTTCATTTCACTGTGGCCTCCTGGCCTCTGTGGATCCTGCTGGGCCCTCACAGCTCCTGATGGAGCCTCCAGCTCCAGGGACTGTGGGCTCAAACTGCTCCGCAAGCCTCTCCATGTGGCCGGCTCTGCAAGCCGCCCTGGCCCTGCACCCAGGGGAGCAGTGAGGAGTTACTGCCAGTTCTCCCCAAAACCCCCTCAAAGAGCATGTGTGAAGGCAGAGGACCCTCACAGCTCCCTCATGGCTTCTGTTGGGCCCTCGCATCCCGTGTGCCAGCCCAGCCACCCCACCTTCCCCACCAGCCACGCTGCCGGCCGCGGCCCTCTGGGGCAGTGCTGCTGGGAGTGCTGAGAGTGCTGAAGAAAGGCCATTTACCGACGTGCAGCGCAGGACGGTTAGGAGGAGCTCGTCACCAGCCTCCCTGTAACAGAGACATGCAGTCAGCCCGGGTCAGCACCACCCATGCCTTCCTTCCCACTGTCATGGCAGGCGGTGCCGGCGAGGCTCTTGGCCCCCCCACTGTCCTGTGAGGGCAGGCTCTCGGCCAGGTACCGACATGGCAGAGAAAAGGTGGGAACCCCCCTCTCCTGGGCTGCCATGCCCTTGAGCACAGGGTCACCCCATTCCCGTGGGGCAGGGTCCCACTGGGCGCAGCACCCTCAGAGGGGGCGAGGTCCCTCTGCAGCCTTCTGTGAGACCCGGTCCCCGCACGTCTCCTGTCAGGCCTCTGCCGCCTCGTCCCCATGGGCCGCACAGGACCACACCTGATGATGTCAGCTGCTCGTTCGACGGACACGTCTTCCACCACAGTGGAGTTTATGAGGAGGAGCTGGTCACCCGGCTGCAGCTTCCCTTCAGCGGTGCTCCCTGTGGGTGACCAGCACACTGTCAGTCACAACAGCACTGCGCCCACAGACTTCCCCCATGGGGGACACTCACTGCGAGCTCCTCTTCCCACCCAGCACCCGCACGCCTCACCAACTGCCTCTGGATGGCAAAGAGGGGCCAAAGGACGCTGTGCCTTGATGCCAGCTGGTGTACCACTGCCCATGTCCACGCCAGCTCACCCAGGCTCTCCTGGCCCCATAGGCTGCCCCTGCATCACAGAAATCATCCTTGCACAAGTCTTTTCCCTCGTCAGAGCCCACCACACAGGGCTAGAATGCCGCTGGCCTGGAATGCAGCTAGAGGGCTCACAGGCCCTCAGGAAACCACAGGAGGACTGGGGGTAGCAGCACTGCCTTGCCCTTTGCGTGCCTACTAGCCCTGGGCAGCCCCAGGGCCCTGACCAGCTGCCACAGCTCGGGGGTCCCTCTTTGCAGGATTCACACTCTGGCCTGGCCCTGGGGGTGACATCCCAGCTGACTACAGGCAGCACACAGGCCGGGGCTCGGTGCTCCCGGCACACCAACGGTCACCCCAAGGTGCTGCAGCACCCCTGGGAGGTCCGGGTGGATTCCCAGCACAGTGACTCCCCTCTGACACCCAGGAGAGGACGGAGGATATCACCTTAACGACCATCTGCTGGGAGAACCCACGACAAAGGAAGAAGATGGTTTCTGAGCTTTGCTGTCCAGGAGAGTAGCAGCTGCAGGATCCAAGAGGCTAAGGAGCAGGCGGACCCCAGCTCCACTACAACACACACTACTGAACCTCTCTGCCAGAGCCCTCACATCCCCCTAGCACCCGCTACCTCTGGGAGACCCTGGCACCAGGTGCCATTTGTGAACAGCAAAACAGGAAGACAGTCATTTGGAATTAAATACAGGGATTTTAGCCGTGGGCTCCAACAGCAATGGCAGGACTTAAAAGCACAGGTTTCTTTGTGCCTTAGTTTTAACAGAATGTTGATCCTTTCTGATTAAGAAAAAAGAAAAGTGCAACAGAAAACCTCCTTCACTTCTCAGACCCCAAAACTCTCAGGTAATTTAGCCACGTTTCACATGGCAAGGGACATAAAGAGAAAATTTCACTCAAAAGCACTGTGAAAGGACAGACCCCATCATAGTGCCTTTAAGTTAAACATCCCACCCTAGGCAGACGGGGGATGCTGCAGCCCACACTGGCAGCTGGAGAGGCAGAGCCCAGGCCAACCCTCCAGCCACCCTCCCCACAACATCCACCTGCACAGCTCGGGCACAGTCGTTCTCTGGCTGTCGCACTCACACCAACAGGTAAAAAGCAGCCATTTTTGTGTACCCATTAAAAAAATAAATAAAAACCAGATTCACAGTTTTTGATTCAAAACCCCCAAGCCACATTAAAAACAGAGTTATAGCCCTCCCTTTTATAACTGGAAGAGCTGGTCTGCTTCACTCAAGCAGAATTTCACCTGGGCTGCCTGTAACTAGCAGTGATCCTCTCTGCATTGCAGGGCTGTAAGCCCAGAGAGCTCTTTCAACAACAGATCACCAGGGCCCCTGCAGAATAAGAACTCTAAGATGAGATTAAATTTTTCTTGTGCATTTCATATAAAACACCAGAAAGAACTTTGCTTTGAAGCAGCTTTTTGCATCCCTAAAGGTCAGCTGTGTCCAAGTGCAGGCAAAGGATTAGCAGTGAAGCTGCTATTGGCTCAGATTTCCTCCATGCCATCACAATCAAGTAGATCTTCAGGCACTCTGCACACACAGGCACATCAGCTTTTGTCCTCATTATTCAAGGATCACATGCCAACCTGAGAAACTCATAAATACCTGTCAGGAGTTTATCACTAAAATCATCTGGGACAGCTCAGGCTTCTCACACCTGCGGCTGTAGGGAGAAGAATCAGTGCTTACCTGCAGTGACAGATGCAATTGTAAGAGGAAGGTTTGGACAAATCTCAAAACCATAGTGGTGGTGGACCAAATCTTTGTATACCGTGACAGTAAGTTTGACACGGCTGGCAGGCTGGCCACTGCCATCACTGGGACTGTCAGTCACAGACACTCTGCCCCTGTAAGACATGAAGCCGGTGATTAACGAAGATACAGTCAGAAGATACTTTATTTGAAAGGGCATAGATTCACACACATACACACACCCCCACTTTCAGTGGGCTGCACCAGTACACAAAGAGGCCACTGGCCGGCTTGGTACCCAGCACTGCACAGGTCAGCAGTAACCCCCCAGGCTCCACCAACATCATACCAGTGGCACCAGCTGGTTGTACCACAACCCTTTCAGCCCCCACCAGCCCAGTGGTCACAGGTAGAGCTCCAGGTGTGCCCTGCAGCAAGCCCTGACCTGCACAGATCACAGCAACACCATTACCCACGAGGCAGCGAGAGAATTTTCAGTTCTCTGCTTCTGCCAGGATCCAATCCAGCTTAATTTTGATTCACAGACCTTAGGAAAGTAAAGCAGCTGTGGGCCAGGATCCCTTGTAAGTGCAACACAGTCTTACCCTAAAAACATGGGCCAACAGCAAGACACAAAGAGAAGTACAACCCCATCTTCAAGAAACGCACACTTCACATTGAGCAGTACTGCTTTTCTGCAGATGTGGCTCAAAACCAGTATGGGTGAAAGCAGAAACATCTGTCCCCAGAAACAGAGGGAGGTGCTTAAAAACACTGCTTTTTCTAGTGACTACTGTATGCTTATTTCCAAAGAACAACTAAAACAATGAGTAAGGTCTGCAACCTGCAACTGCCCCTGTTTGTTGGGAACAAGCTTGTGCTGTCTCTGATCAAAGGTAATAACAGATATTCCTTTCACAGAAAACATGTTTACCTGGATGCACCATCCCGAGAGCGATGAAGCCATTTTGCTACCATTTGCTCTATTCTACATGCTTTGCGTGTCTGGATTAAGTTAGTGTCCAAATCTTCCATCTACCTGAAAGTGACAGAAATCACAGGAAGACAGAATGATAAAAGATTGAGAGAATCTATTCTAGACACTGTTCAGAGTTACCAACACCAATTCACAACTCCTTTGTAATAAAGGGATCCACTGGCAACCTGGGAAGTCCACATGCTTTAACAGAGGTTGTTAACATCTGTACACTTACCTCCTGCCCATCCAGCCTCCCCTCCTTGTCCTTCTGGTCAGTCCGTATTGGTGGTCATAGTGCATTAGCTACTCAGGCAGAGAATGACCCACGAACATCTGTATTCCTTTTTCATGGTTTCTGGATCCAGTGATCTGTTTTCTCAACGTGAGAAAGCTGCTGTGGCTAGTCATTGGAAAGTCCTTCTCCATTTTAGTCCAGGATCTCTGAATGATGTTTAGTAACACCCAACTGTACACTGATTCAAACTAGACACACTTCTTCCAATGACCACCATCTCAGGGACCAGCACACAGCCTTCAAACTCAGTGGGCCCAACACTTCAGGGCACAACAGTGAGGTTTACAGCCAATGGCTGGCTGCCCTGGAGAGACTCACTGTGACAGATTTTCTCCTGGATGAATACAGCCACAGTAATTTTACAAAGAGCAGTGACAAAGAAAGAAACTGAATGGCCAGCACAAGCTCCTGCACACTGCTATTTGCACTAACAGAACTAGTCTCTAAACCAAGGTCACAAGCTCAAATTTGTATCTCTCTGACAAAACTGGTCCAGTGTACTGATGCCTCCTAGTCCTGGAGCTCTGTGAACTTAGGTGGTTCCATAAATCAGTAGAGTGGCTCATCCAGGATCTTCCATTTAAAAGCTCTAGTTCAACAACAGGAAAATGGTCACTCACCCTCCCTGCTCCTTGTGTGTGTACCCTCTGCTTTTGATAGAATGTTTTTAATCCTACTGAACTGAAGAACTGCAGCATTAGAGAAGGGTTTGGCTCAGATTTGCTTAATTCACTGTGACTTTAATTGAACCTAAAAACCTCCCTTCTTTGGAAGATGCAAAGTCTAGGTCAGCTTCCACACCCCAAACTGAACCTGCCAACCCATGATTCCTCAATCAAAACAGCTAATTTGCCATTTTAACATTTTAACGTGTTAAAATTCCAAGATGCAGAAAGATGCAGAATTCCAAGATGCAATTCTGCATTCCAAGATGAAGAAAGCCAGCAGCCATATATCATTTTCATTACTCATTCAAACACTGGAAAGAACTGTGAGCTGCAAGTGAAGCAGACAGGAAATACGTCTGCATCTACAAGAAATCACAAAGAATATAAACTCTTTTTGTATTGTATTTCAGCAAGGAAACAGAATTATCATATCTACCTTTCACACTGTGTCTTCTGGTCAGCTTGCAAGATTTGTATGTCCTGAGCTTCTCTCTCGTGTCTTCTGCTCAGACAGTAAGTTCCGCACATCGAGGACATTGTCTGTTATACTGGGACAGTGCACAGGACAGCGGGCTGCTGGTCCATAGCAGGAGCTCTGCTGTAGCAGAAATATCAGTAAGCTAACTTCAGAATAACAAAATATAAAAGAGATGGTTGGAAGCTAACAGAAACGAGGCACAAAACATTTTGATTCAAGACAAACTGGACCTCTCCCCCTCAGCACTCTCCCAACTCACAGCACTTCCCCTAACCCATCTTTTTCTAACAACGGTAAGACAACAGGACCAACATTTGTTGATGTCTCCTTCCCTCCTAGGAAGCCATCTGAGCCCATTTCACTGCCTGCCTGTGTAGAAATGGACAGAAAAGAGGGCCATAAAATTGAACCCTTCAGGAGTTGTTTCACTGAGGATTCTCCTGGCTACTCTTTCTTATGCTGCACAATTCAAAACTTCTCCTTCTGACACACTGCTCCTGTATCTACCTCTGAGCAGCATCTCTGAACCAAACACCTTGCAACCAAGCAGTGTTTTCTGAAGGAAACTAGAGCTTGTAGGATGGGAAATCTGCTCCCTTTCTGAAGGATGACTGGGAAATAACCACAGAACAAGCAGAAGTGCAGCAGTTCTACAGCCTGAAAGGTATACATAGGACATGTCAGACCAAGGCCTGAGCAGCCATCGTCTGTACTTCGCATGCTTCCTTTCAGCCTTTTTATTTCACCGTTTCTGACAGTCAGCTCCATAGACACTGTAACACTCACATGACAGTGTGGCTGCAGCCATCTTCTGACTTTGATTTAATCTCCTTCTCAGTAGCGTAAAGTGCTTTGGCTTTCCTACATCCCTTCAAATGCTCTAATATTCCCCTCTGAACCATGCAAAAGTCCTGCTTGCAGCTGGCCCTTCCTCTCAAGAGGCTCTCTGCTTGGATGCCTAGAAGTCACCCACTTCAGCTACTGATGCACTGAGATCAGCTGTTCTCTGGTGCCTTCTCATTATGTCCTTGTGCAGCTGCACCCTCTACCCTGCCCCGTATCTTTTACTTTGCAGAAGGAACAGCCTTTCCTTCCCATGCTTCTGCTGTGCTTCACAAAACAGAATTTCTGGAGAAAGCCTCTTAACCTGCAGAACAAGGAAGAAAAGCCTGAAGAACAAAAATAAATGCTTAGAGAACCCAGATGGAATACTAGAAGAGAAAAAAACCTACATTGTCCCTTCAGTCAACTGGAATACTTGAACCAAAAATTAGGTATCTTCGAAGAGGCAGTTTTGTTAGATATTTCCCTGTAATAGTGCAGAACACAAGGCAGCAGTCGTCTTTTTCATGGTGTCCCCACAGCACACAGGCACCGGCACTTGTGCTGGGCAGGACAGGGTCACCCACCCCTTTGCACAGACCTATCACACATGTGCAGGTGGCTCCTCCTTGCTTCAAAGATGTTTTGCCAAAGCTCTGACCTGAGACCTTCTCCCAACTGCCCTTTTGCGACTGTTCTTGAGCCAAGCCTTCAAGCGCGTCACTAAGCAGCTTGAGTGGGCTAGGATCGTAATACACAAAGACCCTTAAACTCTGTCAGAGGAAGCCAGGACTTTGTCAGGTATTTGCATGGCTGACAGACCCATCCAGACAGCCCTTGCTGGGTGTGTCAGAGGAAACCTGGGTGGACAATTCTGGCTGTTCAGGAACAACACTGACTTAAAGATCAGGACCTTGAAAAACCTCAGAGCGTGCAGCCACAGGGCAGTACAACAAACAGCAGTGCTGCAAAGTGCACTGTCACCTGTCTGGAGCAACTGAGGACACAAGAACTGCCAGTCTTCAGTGTCCGTACGTGGTGTGCCTCTTCCACAGCAGCAAGAACACCACTTCCCCACCAGCCTCTTTTTCTGCAGCCTCCCTCTCACCCACTGCAGCAGCACAACAGGTTCATAAATTCCACCCCTGCTGCAGACAAGAACATAGACCTGATCTCACATGACTTTGTTCTTGTTCACTCCAAAGTGGAGCAAAACGTTGGTTGCAGCCTGCCATACAAGAAGAAGAAGCTGTAGAGAAATGGGTGCCAACTGTGCCATCAGGCAGAGGGCACCAAATGGAGGAGTATTCAGCCAGCTAGCCCAAACTTGACTGGCAGGAAAAAAAGCCAAAACCAGCTTTCAAGAAGAATACTTCAATTTTTCTCATATCATTAAATGGAAAATATTAATCCATCAAACTGAAATTTTCTGATGGACAAAAGTTTCACTGTTTTTGAAATTACGTCTTTGTTTTAAAGTGTTCACCACCATCAAAATGTAGCAGCAGGAACAGCAGTCATAATCAGCAGGTCTCCACTCACTGATGGCAGAGAACTGCATGAACAGAAACAGTTGCCATAAACTGTCATAAAACAGGTCCGGGTGTGCTCCACCCGTATCTCCACTCATCTGGGCTTTTGGAAGCATCTTTCTAAGTACTTCTTGTAATGGATGCCAGTCAGCAGTGAGCAGTCTCAAGGCAGGCAATACTAAAATC